ATGTAGAATTCCCAATCCAAATGGAAAACTTATTTTGCTACACATTAGCGTCCTCAAATGAGGCTTAACAATCATAAGCGGTCTGATTTCTTTCTTAACCGATGTTTCTGTAATTTGCATGCCCTTCGTAGCACAGCTTTCAAGTATACAAAATTAAGGGAAGCTTGAGTGTCAAACCGAGCCGCCTTTGTAAAATACGAATATAATAGATAATAGAAAACACCTTTGACTGTTCGAATCATAGGAGAGGCGATCGTCTGGCGAATTTCCACCTCCAAATCTCTCGCTGACGCGCATCTGTGAGTTTTAGGTTTGTTTTGTCTGCTTTAGTCTTGCATTAGCGTAAGCACGTTTCAAACCTAGTGTGTGAAAACGACTGAAAACACACACACACAAACTTAGTGTGTGCGTGCGTGTGTGTGTGTGTGTGTGTGTGTGTGTTTTCAGTCATTTTCATTTTAACGATACTTATTCGCTCCTTCAGTGACATACTCCTTCCATCAACTAAAACGTGAAGGAGAAAGAGAAAAAAAACGAAGTAAAATATGGTTCTACCTGAATGTGCTGCGAAGACCTGCGACGAATTGTGCCCAAAGTGTGCGACAGGGGAACGGCACTATGGATAAACACTGAGGTAGAACCAGGCTCGGATTGAAACAAACTAGTGGGTATGGACGTGAAGGCAATCCTTCCCCTGTCTCTATTCAGTGTTGGAAAGTGTTCGAACCCCCAATGGTGGCGTCCTGAGTTCGAACGCGAGACACCCGGCGGGGGGCAGACGACGCCCTTGATCGCTCTGATTGGAGAGAGACAGCGGGTGGAGACAATGACAGCTAGCTTTACCTATCTGGCCACTCATCATTCCAACCACGAGGACCTCGGTGTTCTCAAGTCACCTCTCGGCTCCTCTTCTCCCTCACTTCTACCCGTATTGGGGAATAAATTCAACCGTCGCGAACCTTGTGGATAACTTGATAACTAAACCCATGGTGACAACAACAGCATGAATTGTTTTTTCCTTTTTTTGTGTGTGCGTGCGTGTTTCTGACGCAGCGCTAGGCTGACATATCTGAACACTGCGTCAGGTTTTGCCGCGGCTCGTGTTCAATCAGTGATGCGCCCATTGAACACACGAGTTCAAGTCGAGCGCTGACGAAGCACTCGAGTTCAACCTGTGCCCTGCGCTCAATCGAGGAAACTGACGTATGGGATTCAGTACACGCGTCTGGTGTTGGTTAAATACTGAGTCAGGCTGTTGAAAACTATCTGCACAATGCGCCCACAAGAGTTATACCTTCTCGACAATTATATTTGTAGTTGGTGAACGGACTGTACCTCGCAACCCGTATAAATAACAGGTAAATTCCATGTCAGACTGCTTATTATGGATATACTTTTAGATAAATTCGGTTCTAAACTGAATGGAAACAAATCTTTGTATAAAGTACATCCATTTTTACAGCGGAGCTGTTAAGGACTAGTTTCCCCAGGATTGCGTCCCCCGCAAACAAATGTCGACACAAAACTCTGGTTGCCGCCGTCGCTCATAGATGGCGGTAGCTGTCCAGAGTGTTGTGTTTGCGGGTTGTCCGCTTGCCACCGTCGCTCATAGAAGGCGCAACCTTTCAAGCCCTTCCACTCCGGTTTGCCGACTTGCAGCCGGCCATTACTTCATTCCCACCATAGTACAGCTTGGCTGGTCTTCGTTCTTCACCGGAGTGGAAAAGCTAAAAGTTTTTATTTATTCTTTTTATTTTAAGCTAGGTCAATTTCCTTTAAATCAATTTTGCTACAAATCAGTGCTTCTTAATCACTGAATGGACAGGGTGGTCTTAAAAAAATATGTATAGTGTTTTTCTTGTTTGTTTTTTTTTGCCTGTTTCTTTTTTTTTTCTTTTTATCCGAAAAATTATCTACGCATCGCCGAAAGCTCATTTTCTACCCAAAAGTCCGAACGACATGCCAAAGTTTCAGGACGAACCAATATTCTATTCAAAAGTTAAAAGCGACTTTCGCAAACTTCGTTGGAAAAATGGTGGGCGAAGTAGGCTCTTGAATACATGGAGCACTATGGCGACAGAAATCGAAAACGGGCGAAAATGGGCCCCTTTTTCACATCGAAATTTTCACAAAATCGCTTATAACTTTTGAATAAAATATCGGTTCATGCTGATACATTGGAATCTGATTCTGAATTCTAGTGCTACCTTTGGGCGGAGAATCAGGGTTCAGCGATGCGTAGTTAATTTTTGCATTAAAAAAAAACTTTTTTTTTTTGCGACACCCTTTATTTTTAGATATACCAGACTGATTAGTTAATTCGTTCAATTACTAAAAACAACGCGGAAGAAAGAATTGCAGTAACTTTGAAGTATATTTATATACTCAACAGAGTGGAGAGTAAAAGAAAAAAAAAAACAAGTTCCAATTTCGCTCTGAAGACCACCGATTTAATTTTTAAATAAAATGCAAAGTCACACCCAGCATCCATTGATAGACGAACGGTGAACAAACAATTATTTATAATATTTGGTAGATATATTTTATTCACATCATTATAGCAAAATCGGTCTGATTTCAATCACGATTTAAACCTTGATTTAAATTACGATATATTTAGTTTTATTATTTTCCACGCTGGTTTAAGATTAGGTTTTCGTTCTGTTGTTTGGAGCTATGTGGGGGGTAAGAATCAAGCGACAACAGAACGTGTTCAAAAGCTTTCAACTTTTAAAATCGTTAGATTATTTTCACTGCTTTCTATAAGCGTACTGTTATCGATGCCGTCAGAATACAATGTTAAAAGCCGCGCGTTTATTCTAACAAAGTAAAAGCAAAATAGCTAGCTGCGCGTCCCTCTCCTACTTCTTTTTCTCCGCTATAGTTCCACTACAGATGCCCCTATCTAGAATGTAAACTAGGAAAATCCCTCGTGTAAAAACCTTTTGTGCTCTTGTTGCCCAGTGCACATGTTTCACAGTTCTAGCTCGGCATGAAGTTATATTGCTATTCATGTGTGCAGCTCTCAGACGATTCAGGCTCACAACTTCCTGTCGTCCATTAACTTCCAAAATAAACTTTTTTTTTTAAATATATATTTGATGAAGTATCTTGTAGAGGCCATCATATACTGAGGATGGAGTGATCTTTAGGCTTTGTCTTTTCTTTCAAATACGCGCGTTCACGTCTGAACGTCTGCGCTGATAACTTCACCTCGATTTGATGCTGTTCGCGGTCCATCAGATCGTACTAGCTTCATTGCTTCGCGTAGACGAGCCGCATAATCTGTAAGGTCAATAGTTGAAGTTGCGTTTCAAATCTTTACTGCTGGCGGGTACAAATTAAGCTTGGCACCTGTGTCAATTAAGAATACCAAGCAAGTTAACCGGATCATGAAAAAACAAAATAATGTGCGACGGTCCTGGTTCGTTCCAACAGCACCGGCCGTCGTCAGTTGTTCAATAGGAAGTTCCCGGCGAAAAAAACAAGGGCGATAGCAGTTGCGAGCTCGTGTACCAAATGGTGTGCAGTACCAGCATGTCGTGTCGCCACGTTCCTGTGACTCTTCTCGTCTGCACAGAGACCTGCATCGCTCTTTACATGGAGATCTGAGGCGCTCTTTGGTTGGAGGCCAGTGACTTTGGCGACGAGAGCTTGACAGCTGAGGACGTTCTGTAAATAGCCTGGTTAGCCGGTCGACGTCCACTCGAAGCCGCCGCAACTGGGCCTCTTGAGTTGCCATCCCTGTGGTGGCCACAGTCGGTGTCTCAAACGTTTGTAATGCGTTCTCAAGAATCTTGTCTACCTGTTCAGCCATCATGTCCAAAGGAACACCGGCCGAGGCCGTCACAATCATACGAGCGTTTCAGAGGAAGCGTTGGAAGAATACCTTTCGAAGAATTGAGTCATCGATTGGTGCAATCCCAATCAACTACGTCGTGCGACGTAGCAGCTGGTACAGTTTGCGATCTCCAAGTTCCTCCTCGGTGAGGATTTGCCGAAGGCGTTGTAGTTTGGCTGCCGTCATGTGTTTGACAAGTTCATGTTTGAATTTGTCGTACGGTACGTCTGGGGTTCGTGTCATTATGATATATATAACCTCGGCAGCTTCATTGAGGCTGAGGGCACTTACGGCGGAATGATACTTTGTTTCTTGTGAAGTCATACCTCGTGAAGCAAAGAGTTACTCAACGTGGGCGAACCACAAAGCCGGATCAGCAGGCCAACAGGGTGGAAGTTCCAGGGAGACGGTCCCCAGTTGCGTGGTTGGCTCACCGTTTGCTTGCATGCTGTTCTGGTGGTCTGGATTCGTAAAAGGATCACGTCCGGGTCACCATTTGTTAGGGATGTCGTGAGACTGCAAGTCTAACAAGCCTCGCGTTTATTCCGATACCAAAATACAGAGCGCTGGAGCTGCATGAACCGAGGGAGGCCGTCGTGCCGGTGCGCGTCCTCCTACTTATATTTCCTCTCTGTAGTGTTCCTCTGCAATGTTACGAATGTCTGAGTTCAAGGTGATGTGATCGAGATTATATATTGTTGCATAAATGCCTTCACGAATTAATTGATTGCTTCAATCTCACGGCAGATATTTATGCTTATATTCCGAGACATTATTTGTGAACTTCTCTACTTCTTACTGTAATCAAATCATCCCAATTACCATTCCCGCATGGGCCACTTGTACGTTTTGAACCAATATCTTGAAGCATTGAGGCTGTTTTCTACTAGTCTCGAATTTTTCCGTTATCTATCATTGCCAACTTCAAGGTATCAGCTGTCACATGGAAGTAAAATAACCTAATGAATGAATAAATTAATAAAGAAATCAAAGATGTCACAAGTGCAAAGCGTTTGAAATGATTAAAGTAACGTATTTTCGTAATCGCACGTACAATTTTTTGAGGAAAAAAAACAATTTTGCGTGTAACTGCTAAAAAATTCTTCGCAGAATTGTTAAATGTTGTGTCAAAAATGTCGTCCCTTCTTTTCTCACACAGTTGTTCGCCAGAACTACGCGGCCGAGGCGTACGACGAGTTCGTCATCAGCGGCAACACAGCAGTGATGAGGTGCCAAGTGCCCGCCTTCGTCTCCGATTACGTTACGGTGACGTCGTGGATCGAGGAGCCGACGGGAAACGTCATCAAGCAGGCCTCTCCCTCGGGTAAGACGGGCACTAGGCAGCACACGCGCGCGCGTAGCGTGTACACCAGCACGTTGTCCTGACACCATGCCGCTCTCTTGGCATGGCTCATGTGCGAACGCTTCACATCACTCGAGCGTGATTTCTGCGCAGGCGTAATGCCCACATCCGGTGTTGGCACCGAACTTCGGTTGGAAAGGTAGTGAATAGAAGCAAAATGGCTAGCTGTCTTTGTCTCCACCCGCAGTCTTCCATCCAATCAGAGCGAACGAAAGCGCTGTCTGCTCTTCACATAGGGTCTGGTGCTCGCCGTTCGAACACTGGACCCTACGCGAGGTCTCGATCGCTCTGATTGGAGGAGACAGTGGGCAGAGGCAAAGGCATTCAGGCGTCGCGTCTACCCACTTTCCTTCCACTCAGAGCAAGGCCCTCTAGCATCGCCGCACGCACACATCTCCTCCTCTCCCAGAGTTTCTCCCCGCATTGGTACGAATGCAGTAAGCACTGGTAAAAAATATGCGACCCGTGCGTATCGCAAACATCAGCTGTACTGACAAAGGCACAGGTGCGGGACCGTGGCTTTGTGAAATGCCTTCTATGTGCGAGTTTTCATTCATACAAAAACAGGCTACTGCAGTTCACAAAGCTTTTCTATATAGCTAGAAGGCATGAAAATAACTAGTGAAGAAAATCAGGCGAGTAATCTGGATTCTTAAATACATATTTTGAAAGTTTACAACTGTAAAGAGACGTATACACTGACGAATTATATGGACGCCCAAAACTTAAAAAAATTGTAAGCAAAATATTTTATATTGTTTGAAATTAGTATCATAAAGTGTCGTTCCTTCCTCACTGCTCCTCTCACCGAAAACACAACCGAATTCATTTATTTTGGAGATAAAAAAATAACAAGTGCATAGAAACATAAAATGAAGTTGATAACTGTAACTCCTACTAACATTCGGTAGTACTACCCATAAAACATAACATCAGGTGCCCACTCGTGGCAGTCACGTCTCCAGGCAACGGATTCAAGCAAGCACAGATAGATTTTAAAGCCCCAATTTTTTTTTTCATTGTCAAGAAACCGAGTGATTAAGACAGAATTGTAATTTGAACAATTGCTTTATATATCTAGTTGAAATCTGACTGTAATTATTCATTAGTTCAACGTAAATTTGTTCGTAGTGTTGGCACAGTATACAGTGAAACGCTAGGCGTTTTATTGGACTGTATTAATTTTCTGAATTGCGCATCATTGAATTTCATCTTATTTTCTTATTTGCTATGAAAATGTTTGGTCTAGCCTAGATGAAAAAAAAAACTCGAGGTACACCTAAGCACTTCTTATGAGTTGTGAATGCGAAAGCAGACATGCCGTTCTTCCGCACTCTTATTTTGTCTGCGGCGTGTTTGCGACGACGGTAGACCGCGCGCTTTCTTCGCCGCTCTGACCTTTGACGCTTCGTGTTACCGGCACGCTGACGGCGTGGACATGCAGCGCCATGGGGTGGCGGTCGTTGAAACTGACGCGCAGCGGCCAATGGGAGCGTCGTTCCTTGAAGCTATGACGCGCGCCAACCAATGGGACCGAAGCCGAAATCCACCAGGGGGAAACTAGGTGAAGTTTGGCTATGCTTTTCGCGTGGCATCAAAGCTGGGATCGCGGCTTCACTTGGAGAAAGGAGTTTAGGCGCCGTTTGGCGCGGCTTCGAAGCTGATGATGTCAGCTCCCTCCGTGGGACAGTTAACGTTTTCGCATTAATAAATCGCATGTACATCAAGCGTGGCGATTAATGTAGCGATCACATGGCAAATGTCCCTCCCTTGCGCTATAAGTATTCTGACAGTACACTCACACACATGCAAAACAAGCAAGATCAGCATTAAATAAATTTAGATGGTAATCGCAGTGGTGAAAAAGTATTTTATGTGCATCTTAGTATACAAAAAAAAAATACACAGCAGCAGGAACGACGTAACTCGATAGTAACTCCATGATCATATGGAATTTCTCGCTCCTAAACGAGCAAAAATCACTCAGCTCTTCAACTAGGCTTCGGAAGGTGGGCGATTGTCTGAGAAAGTAAGCACTCGTAAAATAAAAACAAATTTATAAATCTCTATAGAAAATCGTATCTGGAAAGCAGAGATTCAATGCAGGTAATTGATGTATGCACGTGACGCCTCAGCTCCTTACCTTCGTACACCGCTTAACAAAATACTTTGCTTTGTAGTTAATTCAACAAAATCTCGTAAAATATCTCAATAAACAAACTACATCGACAGTAGATAATAAGTATAACACAATTTAATCACGCGTTTCGTCTACCATATCAGTAATGCCAAGTTAGCGGGAATGAAATAAACCCCAATTATAAGTCATATTTAAGGATGTCCGCGTACACTTCGGGAGGGGGTCGTGGTTGGAGTTGCAAGCCGAATGAAGTCACTCCCGGATGCACCACGACTTTAGACATCTTTATGAACCCTAACTTTGTTCGCGCGCCAAGGTCGACGCATTCTCAAAGTCAAAACTGCGACCGATTGTGTACCATGACTCGTCGAAGTGCGCCATGACTCCACGAAGATACTTGGACTCATGGTGCATCTGGAGTGATTTATCGGCTTGCAATTCAAACCATGCGACCCCCTTCCCGAAGTATACTCTGAACTCCTGAAATCGAGGGCTACGGGCCGTTCGTCCGAAGACAATTCGTAGCAGGTCAATTTTCAGCGGGGCAGTTCGTTACATAGGACATTTCCTCATAGGGCAATTCGTCGCGGTGACAGTTCGTCAGGCTGGTGAAAGAACGTTGTCTTTCCGTACGATGTTTCTAGTTCCAAGCATATTGTTCCCAAACAACGAACTTCGGGTGAGGCACTATTGATACAAATGTTTGGAGTCTCTTATAGTAGTTGGTTGAATCGTCGTTACTTTCGCAATAGACGCTATCTAAGTTCCTGGGACTCCAACACAATCCGGGTACAAGTCGTCCCGGTAACGAAGCGGAAAACAGTGGAAAATATACATGTTTGTCAAAACGAATTTATTTAAAAATGGTCACTCAACCCTATAGATACATCCATTTGTAGTGAAATGTATTGGTTGCACGTCGGTCGTGCATCACCGAATATTTGGGTGTTCTTGGAGTAGCTCAAGAAGGAGCAGGTACTGGCCGAAATGAAGTTCAGCCAAGCCACAAGCAGAGTTGTCTCGAAAAGGGTGTTGATGAAACAAGAAGGAAAGGACAAGCGCCTTCGAGCAATTCCTCGAAGCTACGACGGAACCGGCAGCGCAGACATCTTCGAGACGTGCGCACTGAACATTTTACTCTGAGTAGATGCATCTATAGGGTAGAATACGTGACCATTTCTAAATAAATTCGTTTTGACAAAGTTCCATATTTACCGGTTTTATTCGATTAGATACCGGGACGACTCGTACCCGGAGTGTTGGAGTCCCGGGAAATCAGACAGCGTCTTGTGCGAGTCACGTTCATTCAAGAAGCTATTGTAAGAGATTTCAAGCATTTATTTCGATACAGCCTTACCCAAGGTTTTTTCCTTTGGGAGCATCGGCACTAGAAAAATGTCAAGGAAAAACAACGTTCTTTGGTTGGTCAGACGAACTATCACCACGACGAATTGACCTATGATGAAATGCCCTGTGTGACGAACTTCCCTGCTACCAATTTACCTTCTACAAATTGTCTTTCGACGAACAGTTTCACAGCCTTAAACAGGACTTTTGGTTGTAGGGTATCTCATTTCTGCCAACTTGGCATCATTGATGATGTCTTATTTATAGGTCACAAAGCGTCCGATTAAATTGTTATATTTGTTATGGAAAGTCGGTGCACTTTGCTTGATCATGATACGTCTCGCCTTCTGGAAAATGTTCGTATCTAAACAAAAAAGCCAAAAAAATCCCCCACAGTCGAATATGATGCAGTGGGGAGATGGGAACGCGACAGACAGCACACGACAAAACAGCACAGCGTCTAAACAGTACGGCCACGAAAAACAGCGCGTCAAAATAGCACGTGACGAAACAGCACAACGCCAAAACGGCACTGCGACAAAAAAGCACGTGCCAAAATAGGACGGCGTTAAAACAGCACAGCGAAAGAACAGCACGCCTCAATGTTGTTGCCGTACAGCATGGGCTAAGCACACCTTGCCACACACGCTTTCTCTTTTTTCTTTTAACAACTAACGACAACACGTTGTTCATTTATTGTAGGCGACATCACCCGCAAACGTTGCGTCAAAATTTAGCAGAACTGATCAAGAAATAGCCAATATACGCACCAGCGGGAAAAGGGGGGGGGGGCTTAGGTACTGCCCAGGGAGCCTTCATGTGCGCAACGAGTACACTCCCCACTCCGATCTTGTTCCCAAGAAGCCGGATTCGGCAAATGGGCCTAGACCCGTCATTTCTGTACAGTGCCTACTTTGAGACATGCATTTTTAGCTCCATACTCTATATTTAGGGTTCAACGTTTTTGGCGTATACCGAAAAAAAAATTGGTAAAATTACGACGAATTAATTTTTCTAAAATCGGTTTTAACTGGAAAAAGTCAGTATTTTTGAGGGCATTCGGAGGGGTGGGTGAAGGGGGGGGGGGGGGGGGGGGCTGTGGCTTATTACTGAACATATGACCACTTCCTCTCGCAGTTTTCAGCATGTCTTTGAGATCGGTTCAACTTTCAGCAAAAGCTCCGGGGGAGCAGGAGTCTTCAGGACGAAATCTAGATTTTTCATCTGAGAGGGATTTGTGTGCCGAATTCTTTGTTCAAAGAAGAGAGTTTAATCGCTAACTGAACAATAAAAATCAAGGGCGTCCGTAAATGCCGCACATTTTTCAACACCTCTAGCCTCCGTCTACTAGAGGAGGGCGTAAATAGGATTGTTTTATTGACATTTCTGTGGTGGGCGCGGATTTACCACCTCTCGCAGTCGTGAAAATGGGGGAAAACACACAGAGTACGATGGTTTCAAATTTGTGGATTTTGGTTTTTGCTCGTGGAAATGGAGCGTGCTGGTTAAGTTACGGTGTTTGTGGAGAATAACATA